CACTGAAAATCTAAGAAATTTCAAAACTTCATTCATAGCTTACCCGTAAAACTTGAGAATTTCATTTTCAAATCACCATGATCCAGCTTCATTCCCTCTTAGCAAATGAATCTATCTTTGTTTCTATTTATATGACACCGTGAACGTTCACTACCCTTGTGTCATGTGGTCACTCACAGCACTCTGTTCTCCTGCACCTCATGGTGATAATAGGAGTTCTGATCCTAAAGAAAAACACATACACACACCGATTAGCTGCTCTTCTTACAAATAACACCAGAATCCCGGCTTGCAAAAGCAGTTTCTTGCCTACATATCCACACAGGGAAATAAAGTTGAATGCAAGTTGTTTTGGCTCTAATTATGACTCTGGCTTGACTGGAGAATGAGGGATAGAAATCAGAACAAATCTGTAGCCCAAATGTAGTTGCCCCATAAAGCCACACATCCTATCTTGAGGTTCTAAATGTGTCACTTCAACAGGATTCTAGATATTTTCGCATCAATTTCCAACATGTTATCATATACATGGAGCATAAAAAGATGCGCCAACTTGATTTTGCTTTTTCTTAGTGGTTTTGCTGCTAATTTTCCCACCTTCACTAGTATTAATCATATCATTGCCGGCTGTGTCTTGGCTCCATGTTTGTGAGTCATAAGTGGCACTTACATAAAATCTATGCCTATATTTGTACTATCTCTCTGTGTCAGTTTGTTCAGATCTTGGGGCTTCATGCCGCCCCAAACCTAGTTTAAGATCATCTATGTCTCACTGCACCCACAAAGCCTAACCACACAATTCAGATTCACAGGTGACAAAGAGTTGACTGGGTGGAATGGAAACACAGTAAAAGCTGTGACACAAAGAAGCACAGGCACACAGGGTGGCACTTGGTAGTCAGTGGGCTATGTTTTCTCAAAGTACACATCACTGAAGATGCAGCTATAATGCAACTGAAAATAAACACTTTATCAGATATTTCTCAATTAAGCCTATATAACATTTTGCTCTGTATATAATCGACAGTCTGAAATTAATGGCTTTCATGCAGAATACACCTAGCATTTGAAAAGAGACAAGATTTAGGACCTCCAGGGGCTTGTATCACATCTTTTTCAACAAAATCAAAAGTCTTTGCCTTTCATTGTTGTCATTGTTGTTGTTGCATGGCTCTGTGTGTGTGTGTGTGTGTGTGTGTGTGTGTGAGATGCCAGAATAATTTATGTACAAAAGATTTACATTGGAATCATGAGGTTTATTTTGAGTATTACTGAAAAAATACCACCCATCAGTCAAACATCCCATTCACCTGGGCTTTCATTTCAGTGAATGTGGTGTGCCACATTCCTGGTGAAGAGCTAATGACAGTTGCATTTATGCTCCAGAAACCTGTTCACTATCAATGCATTCATAGAAATAAAGCTGGGATTCATTTAAAGTTTGGGGCATACAGAATAGAAGGTTGAGAATAAGAGCTATAGCTGAAAACAGATAAGACTCATACAGCCAAATAGAAGTCAGACAGGCCCTTTTATAACATGGTGCATTGTTTCATGAATTGAAATTAATCCCAGTTGAACTCCCAAAATATAATAGCCAGGTACAAGAAAGATCTGACACTGTTTTGTTTGCAAGGTGGGTGTCAGTCTGATCATTCAACAATAATATTAAAAGTTGAGGTAAAAGACTCAATGGTTTCCTCTTAACATTACCTGGGTATATTTAATAGCTGTTTGACAAACAATGAGCAGAGTCTGATTAAACAATTCTTTTCCAGAAAGTCTACGGAGACTCTTTCTATGTACCTGCATTTTAGGTAAACATTATAATTGCTGCATATAGGTCCCTGTCTCAGGTGGGCTTCTCTAGAAGCAGAGCCTGACGTGGGGATTCTTTGCAAGTGTGTTATTGGAGAATGCCCTTACGAGATGTAGATAGATGCAGGATAGGGCAGAGGTAGGAGCTGAGCAAGGATGTAGTCCCAGCTGGTCAGCCTGATGTGGTCGGCCTGATCCCTAGGGGACCACTGAAGCACAACTTATACTAGAGTCATCCGAGCTTGAGGGAGGGGCCAGACTGCTGTGAGCCCCTAGCAGCAGCTGGGGGTTGGGCGCACTGGCGGGGGGAGCAGGGGACAGTAATAGATCCACTATGGAAGTAAGCTGACATGACTAAATCTCTAGGAGCCATGCTACATGATAGGCGATGTGGTTCTCACTCCAACCCTGACCTCACTGAGGATATGATGGATGACACGGCCATGGGCCCCCCATGTGACCTCTCTTAACCATCTTTTCCTCAACTGTAAAATGGGAGAGGGGGACAGTAGGATTGGATTACATGATCCCTATTCTCCCTGCTCCAAAATGCAATGATTTCAACAGGGAAGGGGAGTGGGGAAGCTCACTGAGGAATAATTGAAGTCTTTTCTATTCATGTAAGGGAGTTAATTAATGTAGGTATGTGCCTAAATGCCCACTCCATTAGATACTCTTCTCTCACCCGGAATAACTCTGGGTACACTGGCAAATCTAAGAAGACAAGCAGTAAGGGTGACCTGAAGGCATATGTTCTAAAAACGAATGACAAGGCTCTGTTTTCAAACCAAGTGCTTTCAAGCCAGTTTACCTCAAGGGACCTTAATGCAACCAGGCAACCTCGTTTAACTGAGTCCTACATCAAAGGGAGTTAGAGGCCAGAGGCTGGAGTAAAGCGTGAGACAGAGGCTGTCCCTGCAAAATGACACAACCTCTGTGGAGAACAATTTAGCAAAATCTATCAAAATTATAAATACATTTACTCTTTGACTTCACAGCCCCTCCCTGGGGATTTATCCTCAGGTGTATGTGTACGAAATGACATTTATATAAGTTTATTCATTATGCTACTTTTTCAAAAATGGTCTCAGATTAGAAACAAATTAATGGTCTGTCTATAACGGACTGTTTAAAAACAATAGCAACAACTATAGTACCATCTTCCACACGGAATACTGTATAACCAAGAACATTCTGTGTTGATATGGAAAGTTCTCCAGGAAATACTAATAAATTAAAAAAGCAAGGGGAAGAACAGTATAGATTAATCTGAAATTATAAACACATAGATGTGTAAGTATGCTTTCAGTGTGCAAAATGGTGGTAATAAGATTATATATTTATATTCAACTGTATCCATGAATATCTGGAAGTCAGTTTTTACATATCTGGAAAGATACAAAAAAAAAATTATGAGTGGTTACCTATAAGGGATGAGGAAGTGAGAAAATGGGATAGATAGAGACACCGAAGGGATTGAAAATTCTCACCAAATGCCTTTTCGTAAATTTTTTCTGCATTTTTTTCCCGATCACCATAGCTTCTTCTATAAGAAAAATGGAGCAGTCATTTGCTTAAAAAATAAAATGGAAAATTTAAAGGCAGGCATACATCAAAGCTGATTGTTTCAACCTCCCTTACTTCGTGCCTTAGTTTCCAGTGATTGGCAAACTATGGCCAGTGGTTAATAGTTGCACAAAGACCATGTGGCTCACAATGCTGAGAATATTTACTATCTGGCCCTTTACAGAAGGCTTGCCAAGTCCAGCTTTAAATTACAGAGTTGTTTGTAAAACAGCTGTGAGTATACCTATCAGTGAGCTTCAGGTACTGATGGGTTTTGTCTTCTTGAAATCAACTTTTCTGACCACGGACAGTTTATGCACCAGGAAAATGAGGCAGGATATTTTACCAGTTAAGAAGAGCATGAACTCTGGGGACAGGCAGCCTGGGTTTAAATCTGGGCTTGTCCCTCACTACTATGTGACTTTATGCAACTTCCTCAACTCTTAGTTTCTTCATCTACAGAAGGTGGATCATGCTAGGGCCTCCTTCACAGAGGCATTTGGAAGGTTAAGTATGCTAATGTTGGCAAGAAGTTTAACACAATACCTGTTAGTGTAATTATCTAATATTTTGACTTTTTTATAAACAGGGCGATGACCAGTTAAACGTATTTGGAGAGGACACCACGGGAGGTGAGCTTCCTTTCCTGAGCAGATCAAAGTTGTCATTTTAGTGGCTTTGAGCATGTCTTTTTTATCAAACACTGATGAAGAGATAATATACTAGCAATAGCATGTACTTTTTCCTTAGCCAGAGAACATGATTGAGATGAGAACTTTTTGATCTCTTTCCTCTTGGTCCATGTAAAGAAACAAAAGGATGCCTAAGAGATGTGTTTCCACACTCCCCAGAGAATATGACCCGTGAGATACTCAGTGAAAACAGGATACTCTGGTAAAATATGTTTGGGAAACGCTTAACACTCAATTGCCTTTGGAAGAGTCACATATATAATAGCACAACAAGGTCCCCACAAGTCCTGTAGTAAAGAGAGCTAGCTAGCTAACGTGAATAAAACATTCTTTGAATTTCCTGGAACACAGTCTTTTTCCTGTATAGTAGTAGTATACCAGTGGGACGCAACCTAAGAAACAACCAAATTATACTGCTTTATAATTTTTGTCATGTTAAAAGTCTTGCAAAAAAAATTTAAATCCAACCATAATTAGCTACACGTGGAACTGAAAATAGATAAAATTATGTGGATTTGAAATTGTTCAAGAAAGATAAGGTTCATGTTTGCCTCAGATAAAATGCCTTCTAACATTTCCACTGTAATAAATGTTGTTATAATGGAAATATGTTTATATTGACTGTGAACACATACATGCAAATGATTTGGCTTTCTAAACAACCCTAGCTCTAATCCTGCACTGATCCATGAACATGAGGTAGTAGATAAAGTGCCATTTGATGACAATGGCAATAGTAGTATGTGAAAATCTCAGTCACCAAATGACATTATGGTGATTCATGGGGAAAGGCACATAAACATGAGCTAAGTGCAAATAATCAACTGAGTTCCAACTAGATAAGGATTGATTGATTGCCTAATAAAGTTTCTTTTTTTCCTGGTTATAAAATTAACACATATTCATTGTGGAGATTTTTTTAAGTAGAAAATAAGAGTAATCTAAAACCTTATGATGTGTAAATAATCATGGTTAACATTCTAGTATATTTTATTTCAGTGTGTTGTCTATATACCTATTTTCACATAGCTGAGAATTCATGTGTATATGCAAATATATCTCCAATTTTTGTACATATCATAAGCATGTTTCCATGCATTAAAAACTCTCTATAACCTTAGTTTGTAATGACTACATTGCATGAATATACTATCATTAATTTTTTAAAAATAACTTTTTAAAAACTTGAATAATATACAATTATACAAAAAAAATAATAATAACCATAGCCACTTCCGAGATTGCAAACAGATTAAAAGTTGCTCAGCTTCATAAAAGTAAACTGGAAGTCCAGAGAACATGAGATGACCATCTGGTCCCACATGTTAAGAGCACAATGTATTTTCCTTCAATAGAAAGCTCCAGATAACATAGGAATTTTCCAGTCACCATGGGCTACTCTGTAGAGAGACTGAAGCATCACTTTAATTAAAAAGAACAAAAAAAATTCATCCTTCGATATGAAAACCCAAATCTTCCAAAGATCCCAAATTCACTTCTTTCCTGTGCTTCTAGCTCTTTCTCCCTGTCTCCTTCCCCTTCTATCCTTAACCCTATTCTTCATGTTTCATTCTTTCTCTCTCTGTGTGTCTCTCTCTCTCTCTGTCTCTCTCTCTCTCTTCTCTCTCTCTCTCTCTGTCTCTCTCTCTCTCTCTCCCTCTCTGTCATTCTCTCCTTCCTTTTATCCCTCCTTCCCTTCCTCCCTCCCTCCCTCCCTCTCCTTCTCTCTCTGGTGAGTTGAGTCTTTTGCTCAGCTAATAGAGGATTCCTGCAAAAAAAGGTAGCATTGTATATATAAATGAACCACTGCAATTCCACTAAAAAGTAATTGTCAGAAGAATGATCTAGCTTTCAAGAGTACTAATCATCTACATAAGATATGAGGTATAATTCAGAGTCCTATCAATTCATTTTAACTGTAAAATTTGCAATTTTGTCACCGAGACGGAAAATAAAAACCTCCTACTCTCTCATTCCACCTGTCATTTTAATCAATTCACACCCATAGGATAAGCAAAAGCAGGTGCTTCTTGAACCATGAAAAGAGCCCAGAGCTCCACCTAGACTAAGCACTCGGGGCTGACTCCATCCAGTCTTGCCTCACTCTTCAGGGCTTTTACCGCTGAGAGGACTGCTCCAAGAACCTTCCCAACCCAGGATCTGGAATGCACACCCCAGGGGCCCAAGGTTCCAATAAAAAACACCAAATATCTTTGAACTTTAGTATCTTTATTTCAAAACTGCATGCAAAGTTTTCATGAAGTAAAAAATCACAGTATCCTACATTGTAATATATTACAGTCTATTCAATGTATCCTGCAGTTTGAAAAGTATCTTCCTTAGCATAGGGGTTAACGAGAATAATAAAGTATTCAAAAATATCTTCAGTTACTGTATCTGCAGTCACATCTGCCCAGCTGAAGGAAGCATTCAGCCTCAGATGTTATTTTATTTGTCCAGCATGGTGCTCTAAAAACTTGGTTTTGAATGTTAACCCTTGTTGCCATAGTCCACAACACTCCACACCCCACCCCCCGCCCCCATCTTGCTGGTTTAGGATCTTTGCCTGGCTTTTGCCTAGGCACATCAAAGAAACCTTTCTGAAACTTCTTGTTTGTGGAATCGGCCTGCCAGTCCCACTGCTGCCCCCACGGGTGTTAGACTAAGCTGCTCAGAAATTAGCTAGTCTGAGGATGGACTTGAACATGGTGAGTTTCTCTCACTCTCCTAGGGCCTGCTTCTTAAGCGTTCACCATGATCATTTGGCCTCAGGATGGCCTCTAGGTTGGAGCAGGACCTCCCTAAGTGGCTTCTACAGATTCCCACTCTGAACTTCAGAGCATTCTAACAAGTCTCCAACAGTGTTCTTGGCTTGCCCAAAGACTTTTCCTCCAGGGCAGAAGTCTGACCCTTCCCTGGCACAGCTGAGTAGGCAGCCTGCTGACTCTTTTTGAGACAATCTGTTCAACTCTTGAGCACATGTAAAGTCGAATCTTCATAAATAAAGCCCTATGGCCTTAAAAAAAAAACTATGATGAATTACTTGTCTATGCTCCTCTCTGAAACAGTCTTAGGTAGGACTGCTATTTCATCTGTCCTCGGGTCCTAACTCTAAACCTTTTTTTTTAGTTTGAGGCCCCACTGCTTCCAGAATCAAGCAGTAACCACTGTCATTTTCTGACTCCAGAGACCCCTTTTCTGACTCCAGAGACCCCAAGTTCACAAATCAAGTTTTTTCACTGTGGTTATCTTTTCAGGTAACCTCACTCTCACCCAAGATCTCTTGAAATTTTGGTTTATATTAAGAAGGTATCTTCAACGTACAACAATAATAGCATCATAATTGTGGCTAAGGGACAAAGGAGGCCATTTCCTCATAGGCCCTGTTCATTTGCAGGAAACCACAGAATCATAGGTATTTGAATTAAAAGAGACATTACAGATCATTGGGTCCAACACTTTTATTTGACAAATGGAGAAACTGAGGTCCAAGGAAAGGCAGTCACTTGCCTAGGTCAAGTCAGTTGGCAATAGGACCACAAAATGTAGCTCTTATCTACCCATCCCTTGTGGCTACCTACTACACCACATGACAACTGAAAATCTTTTAGGCTCCACAAACTCTAGAGGGTTTCACATTTGGCCAAAGGTTCTAATCATTTCTTTGCCTTAATGCAGTGGTTCCCCAAAATCAATCTTCACCTGCCCCCTGCATGATTTTTACTTCATCTTTACACTATTTATTATACTGTATGTTATTTACTTGATATTTTTCTCTAAATTTATTCACTTTTATTATTATATACATTTTATTTATTATTTATTTATGTATTTATTTATTTATTTATTTATTTGATTTTTTTTTTCCCCTCCCCTCTCCCTCCTCTCCTCTGGTAACCACTAGTCCATTGTCCATGTTATATACATGTATTTTAAAAGCAAATTTTGTATACCTCAAATGGAAAATAGCATTATTTTCTATGAATAGGAACAATTTTTATAATATTGTCTTCCAGACTACCCACTTGGGTCTTAACACCTCTTTATTAAAAGAGAGATTGGTAAATGTTTAAAAATGTGAAATAACTTGAAACTGAGACACTTAGGAAAAATTTTAAATAATTTTTAAAAGTTATCTTTCTTTGTGATTCATGCTACTTAATGCCTTATCAGTTTTACTACCTAAAAGTGGCTGAAATGGCCATCGGTGCCTTTTAATTATGCCTTTTAATTATGCCTTATTAACACATTTACTCAACTTCAAGCTTCTTATCAAAAAAAAAAACTACAAGGTTTTGGTTTTTATATAACATGAGTAAAATCACTGTTTCAGAAATGTATTTCTAGCCAATAATTTAAATTATTCTTACTTTAAAGGTTTCATGGAAGATTTGAGGAAGTGTAAAATTATTTTCATGATTGGTGAGTAAGAGCCCTCAAATTTTCTAATGCAATTGCTAATAATAACAACTTGGTGGGGTGGGGGAAAGGCTATTCATTTCCCACCCTATTTTCCCACCCTTTCTTAGTTAGGTTAACACCCCCGGAGGCTTTCAGATTGCTGCTTTCATTACAAAGTTTTATATTACTTTTGGTGTTGTATCTCTTCAGCATAGACAAAGTAGGACTCTAAGTTGGCCTTCTCCCTTCACCACTCAGTTGCATGGGTTGTTACCCTGGACTCTCTCCCCCATTCCATCATCCATAGAGTGCTGGACCCATGTTGGGCAATGAACAGGGATCACAGAGCTTCCATCTTAGAGGAAAAGAAGAACTAATCAAATTATTATTTCAAAATTAGGAAGCATACTAAGTGCCGAAACAGAGAACCTGAGTGGCGTGTTTGATGTAGAAAAGAGTGGTATTTTTTATAGGGTGATCAGGGAAGGCTTCCCTGTGTAAATGACATTTAAGCACGAAACTAAAGAAAGATGGGGCGACTGAGGGGATTAATGGGAAATGAGAGAAGGAAGAACAGGTCTTAAAGCAGTGACGACTCTCGAGCTGAACCTGAGTTCTATTTCGGACCTGCTTGCCTCTAATTGACCTTAACCTTGGAAACTGGATAGACTCTTATTGCACTTAATTTTATGTTCTTTTCAGAAAGAAAAGTGCATTATTTCTCCTCCTTACTAAAGAGAAACTCATCGTCATAATTTCAAAGAAAGTTTCCCTTTCCACATAAACTTGAATCAGTTTTCTTGGCATTAAGGCAAAGACACAGTAAATTATACTTTCTGTTTAGCTTTTATCTTAGGTACCAAATTAGGAAGAGAGAGACTCTTTAAACTCCATGTTCAGGAATTCAAAGAATGAGCCTTTATTATCACATAGAAATCTGCATTTTTAATAATGTGGTTGAAAAACAACATCTAAAAATAGCATAGCATGTTTTGTGCTTGTTACTGTCTCTAGCATTAATATTATTTCAGATTTGCCCTTTGTTCAAATATCGCTTCTATCTGTCTAGGCATAACTAAAGATTTCAGCTTACCTGTTCCTAAGTTCTGTGCCCTTCAGAAGGTCAAATAGCACAATATAAAATCTTTGGCATGAGACAAAGCTTGAGACCCCTAAGGGTCCACAGATCACACTGAGAATTGCTGCTCTGAGCAAAAGTTTTTACCTTATGTCTAAATCAGTGACGATTCTTGAGCTGTCACTATTCTATTAAAAAGATTGCAGCTCACTGATTGGGCAATAGAAGGTAGAAAGCCACGGTGATATCCGGAAAAACAATTGTTCTTTTTCTGGGGTATTTAATGGACTCTGCTTTGAAAATTAAGGCCTTAGTTCTAAACACTTCCTTGACAGATGGCAGAATGGCATTTTGGGGCTGTATTATTGCAGATCAATTTTAGCTTGTAAAAATACTTGGGATATTATAGATACATCCATAGCAGTCTTGATGAGTTTTAATGAACAAGAGTCCATTGATTTCAGTGAAACAAGTGTGGTTTTGTCTATATGAGAAGATGGCTGGATTTTTTATTTTTTAAATTATTGTCCTGGCATCTTCCAGAACAACAGTGGAGCTGTAGTATTAGCCAAGGCTAGGTTGACATCCTTGCTTTTAGTCATAAGCTAAAATTAATAGTCCTAAAGCACACTTCCCCTGTTTCAAAGTATCCATTAGTTCCCTTTTGTCCACAAAAAGGGCCAAACTCAGACTGGGCTTCAAAGCTTTCTCTCTACTGACCTCAATGTGTCTTTCCCATGCCCCACTACACCCAAATTCTTCAGCTACAGCCCCTACCTGCATTATCATCTCTTGAATTTTTCTGGCTTTTGCTAAACTTTTCACTTGAAATGTCTTCTCCCCTAGCTAATCATGCCCCGAGGTCGGGTTTAAGTTCTAACTCCCTGTGAAATCTTCTCTAATCACCAGCCTTCCTCTTCTGTGCTCCTTCATCCCTTCTGTCTGCATCACTAATTCAGATGCCCCATAAGGACTGGAACAACAAATATTTGTTAGAATAATGAATTCTTTAGGAAGCAGTGTGGTCAGTTTCCATAACAACCGAAATAGCAGTTGGAATTCCTGGAATGGAACTGACAGGCAGGTTGCTGCTGTAGCTGTTTCTGGCAGGATGGTTTTCAGATTAATTATGAGCCTAATCAGATGCTCCTCAGTCCATGTAGCTGCTACCCTCTCACTGAGAACAAACAATACCAACTTTCCCCCTACCCTCGCACCCCACCTAAGCTGGTGCTATTTCTTGCTCATTTGTAAAACAGTTATAAGTGGTGATAGGTAATAGCCACTGACTGTCATCTGAGTGGGGAAAAAAAAGTGTTCAGGGAAAGCGGACCAAAGGCAAAGCAAAAGTGGCATGGATGGACCTAATTGGTCGTTTGAATGTTATGTGAATATCACCTCTTGGTTCATAAAGAAAGCAGCTCAGTCTCTGTTTATAGAGGAATACCTTCCAAAGGACAGATAAAGGATCTCACAGGATAGGGCCTGATGATCAAAACAATTGAAAGTCATCCATCCTAAGGACTTTGGTTGTTCACACACGAGATATGACTTGTGCTAAAATGTAAGACTAGGACTCAATCATTACTGAAAACGGAAAATATAAAAATATCCTTTAAAGAAAGAGCCTCATTATATCCCACTAACAGGCTCCCACAGTTTTTCACAAACTTTTCTGGTACATTTCTCTCCTTTTTACCCTTTCTTTTAAATATCTTGATCATTATCTTCCTATCATCTATTGTATTTGGCTTCTTTTTCCCTTCTCTGCTTTTCATAGCCTGCCTCTGCCCCAAATGTAACATAACCTGAATTCCCATTAATTCCTATCCAAAACCTTGGTAGAAGTGCTTCAATCTGGAAAATCATCTGACTTCACAGGTGAGGCGTGGTACTAATAGCATAATGATCAAGACATCGTTCAATGGTTGTAACTTTTAGTGTATCAGGGACACATATGGCCTTGTGTACCTTGGCATTCGTGCTGATAAACTGCTTTTAAGTAGTAAGCTTTGGGAGGTACTTGTATGATATTTTTGTGTCGTTCTGTGCATTTTTAACCATTGCACAACTAGTCCTATTTATTTCCTGGAGGAAAACTGGAGAAACAAGAATTTTTGCTCAAAACAATATTTCAGTGCTTATCATTATTTCATTATAGCCCTGTTGCCATTTCATTGCTACCCTATTATTAAAGAACTATGAATAAGTCTAATTTTTAGAGAATATTTCCTTGGGGCTCAGGTTGAACATTTTTAGTGCAATCGACTCACCTATTTGGTTAAGTTAAAAATGAATAACAAATCTGATTGTTTTAACTCAATGCAGCTGTAATAAAAGCCTATGTGTACTGAATACTTAACACACAACAGGCACTATATAAAGGGCTTTATAATGTTATCTTATTTAATGTTTGTATCCACTCTATGAAATATTACCACCATCCTGACTTTTCAAATAAGACTTTAGAGAGTTAAATAATTGGCTAGTAAGGGAAAGATTGGTGCTTGAAAGCTTGGATTTTATCATTTGCAATAAATGCTGCCAGTTGTTTTCTTTGAAGGGATGGCTTTATTTCTTTTTAAGAAAATGTCTGCCAGATACTCAAGTCTGAAAAACCATAGTGTATCTGTTAGTTGGTCTTTCAGAAGGTTAAAATGGGGTTCAATTTAAAAAAGCAACAGGTTAAGAGATTTAAACAATCACGTGGAGCTTTTCTTCAAGAAAACCATTATACCTAGGGGTGCTGATGTGCCTTTTGTGTGTTTCCCATTTCATCACACAAAATATTACAATGAGATATACATAAGAGTTGAAAGAAATTAAATCAGCCTTTTTTACTGCTTCATCAAGGGCATTCTTAAGCAACAGTGACATTTTTCTTTTTTTATCTTTCTTTTTTTTTTTTACTGTGAGTTCACGGTGGTGAAGAATACCTGACTGGCAGACTCAGATGCTGCTGCCCTGATTTGCACTGCAGTTCTACAGCCATTGCTTCTGCACCATCAGTGAAAAGCAAATAGCCTCTTAGTGTTGCAGTGAAAATAGGGTCTGTGGTCCTCACTTTGAGAACTATCACTCTAGGGTTAATTGGGGGTGGGGGGCGAGCAGGTATATAAAACCCCATATTTAGCATTTGGGAGATCTTAGAGGATCTTATGCCTTGTCCCTTGTGCCTTGTTTTCACTTTTAAAAGCAAATAACCTCTTAAATGTGAGGAAGGGGATCTGGAAAGTCCCTGTTTCTCTGGGGTCTTGCAGGTCTGGAAAAGTTTCAAATGTTTCTCTATACCTGGTGGTGGAAGAGATGCCTGAAAGGAAAGTTTGGGTGCTTGTCAGGATGAGCAAAGAGGAATGACTCAGGAGGCCCAGTGGAGACTCCAAAGCAGGGACTGGAGTGAGAGCAGAAAGGGTACACCTCAGGGGATCAACAGCAGTGGGGAAAACCAAGACCGGAGGAAGGGTGAAGAAAACCCTCGCGGTGGGAGAACAGCCCTGGCATAGACACTGACCTTTCAACTTATGTACATCTGCTTGGGTTGTTGTAACAAAATACCATAGACTGAGTGCCTTATAAACAACAGAAATTTATTGCTCACAGTTCTGGAGGCAGAGAAGTCCAAGATCAAGCACTGACAGATTCAGAAACTAGTGAGGGCCCACTCCTAGATCTTTTGCTGTATCCTCACCTGGTAGAAGAGGCGAGGGTGTTCTCTGGGGCCTCTTTTACAAGAGCACCAATCCCATTCATGAGGGCTCCACTCTGATGACCTAATCATCTCCAAAAGGCCCCACCTCCCAATACCATCACGTTGGGCTTTAGAACTTAACATATCGGTTTGGAAGGGATACAAACCTTCAGTCTGTAGCAGAACTGGGCTAGGAAGATTACCAGAAATCATTGGATTGGACTAAGAAAACTCAGGCTAGACTTGACTGAGTTT